TAATACTAGTAAAAAAAAGGGGGGGTAGTGTTAATATTAAAGTATTATTCTCTCAATGCTATCTGTAGCAAAGTAGGTATTTTTAAGTCACTGTTAGAGACAGAAGTGTCTTTGATTTTAAAGTTTTGTGATAAAGAAGAGAATAAACGTTTGTCAAAGTTTTTTTAGACTTACAAATGTGAATGCAGTATGATGATTACAGTTGACTTTGTAAATAAAATCATCAATATCTCAAATACAACACAATGAAGTCTAGATTTTTTATTTATTAAAACAAATATGAGTAACTATATTTTAAATGGATGTTTTCTTAATAGTATTTACAGCCTAGTTTAAAAACTTTTGAATATATGAAATCTTGAATATTGTCTGACGTATGGTTTTGAATCTCATTTCACAGTTTTGAAATATGTCATGTTTTAATTGATCTACTGCTTATTTTAAAAGTTGGATAATATGCATAAGACACCATGCATAGTATAGGGAAGACCTGAGAAAAACTAATCTAGCTTCATCTGGCAAAAGTTCTTTTTATTAAATTAGTTCAAGTGATATAATAAACAAAATAGTGCTTTCTAAAAAAGAATTTAACTGAAAACACAGGGTACTGATTAGTAAAAATAGTGTGAAAGTTCTCAAATCTGAGTCCTTCTGTCAGATGACAAAGAAGCCAAAATGAGTAAAACCACTTAAGAGGATTCTCTGGGATTCTTGTCACATTTGGACAATGAGGTCATTGAGAATCATATGCACTTTGTCCTACAAGAGAAATATTTGCAAGAGAGTAGCTATTAGTTGCGGACATTTGATGCATTTCCAATTCTGGGGGTTTAAATAAAGTCAATTTTAACGCTTTCTTTTTTGCTAGTTCAGCCTCTTACCATATAAGAGAATTTTCAAATGGATTTTTTTTCCTAGCACACTGAATTTAGGAAGCCTTGATAGTTCTGCACTAATTTTCAGGGTAAGGATGCATATTGTTCTAATCAAGTCTTTTCAGAATGAAAATGCAATTACTAGCTTATCTACATACACAGAAATAATGAATTAATTTACTGAGCATTCTACATGTGTTATCTTAAAATCATTGTCAGATTCAAACATATTTGAGTAATCTTTTCAACAGCTGAAAACATGCAAGAAAGCAAAGTCATACCAAATGATAGTTAGCATGTCATTTCATTTCGGTTTTTATAATGTAATGTTTCACAGAGGGAAAACCTGAAGATAGACTCAAGATGGTACAATACCACTGCCTTGTCCCTTAGAACACTCAGACTTTACCTCATATTTTCTCCACCATCCACAGAATATTTTATATGCATCAATATCAATATTATTCTAAAATTCAAAGTACTGACACATATAAACTTTAAAACAGTTTTGACTCTGATGAATAGAAAAAAGATTTATCGTTATATTATTAATGCGTAACAAATTTAAATTCTTCAAAAATCTGATCTCTCAATTAGTATTTCTCATTTTCCTATCCTATTTGAATGAACTGTGTTATAATTATGCTTGTTAATTTTACAGAATTAAAGTAATATCACAAAAACTGACTTCTGAATAGAAATACCATTTTCTGTAGGTCATAAACGTAGTTATATATAATCATATAGATAGATATACATGTAGATACAATGTTGTTATAATTAGTCTTATTTCAAAAACCACAGGTCATAAAATATATAGATCAAAAGCATATTTCCTTTAAAAATCAACACCATTTAAATACTGGATCTGAGAAATATGGGTTGATTGCTTTCAGAAAATTGTTTTCAGAAAAGTTATATACCATTCTCTTTGCTTCAGTTATTTTGTTATTGGAAAATAACAATTAAAGTATCATCTACTTCCAGAACTGATACGATGAACTGATGAACTCACACAAGAAGAATGAATTACTTTCCAAACATTTGTTATGAATCGTCTTATTTATATTGAAGGTGTTAAAACATTAGTTTACAGTTTTATTTAGTTAACTAATAGTTTATTTAAATATATTTAATTCCTAACATGCAGCATGTTATGTGTAGTCCATTGGTGTGATGCTTGATACCAATTTAGATAATCAATAATTAGTTGTATATTCTCCTATATGTTGACTTTAACATCCAATAATTTCTTCTCTTTCATATGTGACTATATTTTATCTTCACTTATTTAATCAACAAATGAGATTATGCTGTGCATTCATAACTTTAAATTGTCCATTCTAACCTTCCTTTTTCTGTTTTGTAAAATTCTCATGGGAAGTGAAAATGTTAATTTTTCTATCTTGATTGGGAATGTTTGACGTAGACAATGAGTGCTGGAAAAGTAGATACACCAGTGGGCCAATTGGAGGATTTTGTCCTTGGTCTTTTGTTTTGTTTTGTCTTGTTTTGTTTTTTCTAGAGCAATTGGAAGTTAATTGTTTCCTTTTAAAACAATTATGAGTTTGGATGACCAGTAATGAGAGAAGTAGACAGATGTTGAAAGCACCTGCGCACAGTGGGATCATGTGTTAAGGTCTAGGGCAGGACAGACAAAAAAGTAAAGCCTCAGAACAGTCAGTTCCCTTTAAATAAAATCTTAGAGGACTGACTGTTTTTTCTTTTTCAGTGACAAGCAAGAGTTCAAATGAAGCGTTTTGTTGTGTTAATTACATGAATTTCTTTCATTTCTTAATTTTACCATTTGTAAAATAAAGCTACTTTACTAGATGGAATTGGGCATTTATTTAAAGGCAACCCAATTTTCAATAAAACAGCATATGTTCTACTTTTGCCTGTATTTCCATTAAAGAAAAACAAATGGGTTTCAAACAAAAGCCTTAATTATGTTAGATGACGTAACAAAAGCTTAAATATTCTCATGTAGAAATCATGATATCGAACTACTACATAGTACAAATGATTGACTAACATGAACGTAAGAAAGTTGTAACTATTTTAATTTACAAACCACTTGAAGGAAAACTATAGTGGCTATTTTTATGTAGTGAAAATCTCATTGCATAACTACCATTCTGAGTATCAAAATATGACAAACTCTTAACTTACATATTTACTTTACATCTATTTTCCATTATCAAGAGTTTGAGGTATGTATATAACTATGATTTCTTTTGGAAAGTGGAATAATCAAAGACTTTTAATTAGAGAACAGTTAGCAAAACCCATGGGGTGACATCCTATATTGTTTTCTCTTTTTTATTCAACTTGTTAGCAGTTTTTAATAGTTGGAAAATTTCAAACAAAAGTATAGATACCTATCATCTCGTAAGAGTAATGACTTAACAATGAAAGCCTGTACGTAGTACTACCTGGTAGGATGCTAAGGTGAACAGTATCCACCACCATTGGTAGAATTGTATATTTTCTAGTTCACCCTAGACCTCATTATTCTCCAATGGTTATGGTTTTTCCCTTTTCTAGACCTGCCTCCAAAAGCCTTATGGTTTATGACTCCCCCTTGGTTTCTCTGTACTTTATGTGACTGACTCAACACATTACACTTTCAAAAAACACTTCATGGTTTTTCTCATAGTTCAGTAAATGTAAAATTTTATCACACATATGCAAAAAATTCATTAACCCAGAAATGAGTTGGTATAGTTATAAAATATCATTAATTAAATTAAGAGAGTTTGGCATAACTTGCATGCTTTTTTACTGAGAAAATAAAAATGAAAGTGATTTCAATGCCTAAGTTGAATCACAGCCATATACAGTAAGTACCTTCGAGAACCAAATTTAACTGTAAAACTCACTACATTTTGGTCAGTTGAAATTATTCATTTTCAATGTTTACATCATGATAATAGTCTGTTCTGCAATGATGTCATAGACAAATAGAAAGTTTGACAATTAGGGAGGTACATTCACTGCTTCAGGTAATTTGGGTATTATTTCATGCGCATGATATGTAAGACTAATTTTTAGTGCCAGAAAGTTCTAAATACTAGAAACATAAACAAAGTGATTTCCATTTTCCACATTCAAAATGTAGGATACATCACACAATGTGGTCTGCATCTCCCTCAATGTTCTATGTTTCTCTTACAGAATACATATTGAAAACATGGAAGGAGGAAAAAATATCATCAGAAAAAGAGATTTCACTTGAGCAGAGCACATGGAAATAAAGATGGAACATCACTGTCAGGCAATATCAAAACACATTTTAGGATCATAGGCAGCCTTCCTTTATCATTATCACTCTCTTCTACATTAAAAATGTAGAACAGTTGAGATTCAGGATAGGATGCAAGAGATGATTTCAACTTAGGTGAATTTTTCATAAAAATTTTAGAAAATTTCAGATATGTCTTCTTTGAAATTAAATGTTTTTTAAATTTATTCTCAGAAGGGCAAGTATTTCAAGTATTTAAGGATTACAAAGCATGCAAACATAGTCCCATGCGTAACAGAACAATTCGGGTTATTTACTACTATTGCTGTAGCACACATAATAACCTGTGCTGCCCTGTAAAAGTGAATGTACCTTCCTAAGACTTCCACAGCCAAAATCTAGGTAGACATTTCAATTATTTTCCAATTACTTTACACAAGTGTCACAGTTTTTATGTCACTGACGCTCACTAAATCTCCATGAACTTGTAGCTTTTCTCTAAATTCTCATTTTCAGTACCAGGAAGGGAATTGCTTACTTTGTCTGCAAGCTATCACTCTTCTGTGAGATCCCATGATCCAATCCCAATTAATAAGTACAAATGATCACTAATCAGAAATAATGAAACCATACAAACCCCAGTTAACATGACACTTCATATGAATGGATTAGTTCTAATTAGCCATTCAGATCTCTTTTTTCTCTTATCACTAAAGATTAATCAAAATTGAGGGTTTGATGCTAAATTTTTAAATACTTTCCCTTTCCTATATTAGCAAGTATAACATAGAGAACAAGGTTATGGAAATTGGGCTGAAACTGTAAAGGCTCCAGGACATTCCCAGGGAGTTGACTTTTAAAATAAATAAATAAATAAATACCTGTTAACAGCTTGTTTTCTTGTCATTTGCCTCTTCCTTCTAAAAGGAGAGTATAGCAAAAAATAAATAAATAAAACTGGTTAATTGAGAGTTTTAGTTAGATAGCTTCCAATTATTCAAAGCTATTATATTATACCAAAAAAGAATCTTAAATTGTGCATAAGATGTTGATAGGTAACACACAATGAAACACTAGACGTGAAGAGCACAAAGAAGGTAGGAAAGCCTGAACTGCTAATAGCTAAAGCTTTACATATATGGATAATGTTATTGCATTCCTGGTCTAATTCCCATCGAATAGAAATAATGTGAAATGCCACATGGTTTAGGTGTTTCCTCTGTTTGAAGGTCAGGGAATAAAATTACAGATTTCTACTGAAGAAAATGGCCCCAGGTCATAAAAATTCCCCCCAAAAGATTCAGCAATATGTCTTTGCCCTTTCTCTTAAGAGCTTTCCTTCCCATCCCATTGGGTAATCCAACATTTGTGGTGGGGGGCCTATATTTTTTCTTATTTTTATACGGCCAACAAGAAAATGAAAGTAAGCCAATATCAAGATTTTACTTATTTTCTAAACATGGAGCCATTAATAGTATCACTATCTATATACTTATTTCTGGAGCAAGACTGAACTCTTTATCTCATACACACAAGGATGGCATTCATGCACACACAAACACACACACACACATATGTGCTTGCGTACATACATACTCGTATACACATTCATACATATGAAACTAAACATACAGAAATCAATAAAACTTACATACTAAGTTTCACTAAGAAAACAAACCTTGCTTCCAGTTGCTAATTAATCCCTACTGTTTCCCAAACCTTTAATATATGAGAAAAACTAAACTGATAGCTAAATAAGTCTATGAGGTATGTTAACATTTTGTTGACCTTCCCTGTGACCTGGGTACTCTGTCCCTTTAAGAGACAATCTCTGTCCACCCACAATCCTCCCTCACTTTCCACCAAGGCAAGCTGATCTCTCACCTTCTCTCCTCCCTCTCTCTCTCTCCCCCTCTCTCTCTATTCTCTCTCTCTCTCTCTCTCTCTCTCTCTCTCTCTCTCTCTCTCTCTTTCTGACCCTCTTTTGAAGAGGTAACTACTGCCTCTCACATCCCCCTCTTCTCTTCTCTTCTCTTCTCTTCTCTTCTCTTCTCTTCTCTTCTCTTCTCTTCTCTTCTCTTCTCTTCTCTTCTCTTCTCTCTCTCTCTCTCACCCTCTTTTGAAGAGGTAACTACTGCCTCTCACATCCCCCCACTTCTCTTCTCTTCTCTTCTCTCTCTCTCTCTCTCTCTCTCGCTCGCTCGCTCCCTTTCTCCCTCACCCTCTATCCCTATCTATCTATTCACTCCATTATCCCCTTACCCATTAAATAAACTCTATCCTCAAGGTCTCTCTACATGGGATATCTGTCTGTCTCCCACATGCCAGAGGACGTGCCACGTTAGAGCTGCCATGAATCTTTCAAAAGGAGTATAAGACCCTTTTAACCTTTGCAAGTATCAACTATATTGCACACTAAAAATCCTTGGTTGCACACAAGTAACTGTGGAAAGCTAGGAGTGGAAGATGTGCCTCTACCCTGGGAATAGCATACCAATTTGTCCAGTGCCAAACGATCAGTTTTGAAAACATACAAGTAGCATTATATGGACTCAATAGGTTTTGAAGGAGAGAGGACATGGGTATATCAGAGGTTTGGTGAGAGAAAAGAGAAGAGAGAAATACAATCTTAAAAAAAGAAACCATGTTTATGTTGCCACATTTTTGTTCTGATGACTGTGCTATTTAATACCTTCCAGTGTTTTGTTTGTTTTTGTTTGTTTTTCCAAAACTGCTTCCTTGTTTCAAAAATTTGTCAGAAGGTAGGTAAGTAAATAAATAAATAAATAATAAGTAGCAAATGCAATCGTGTATCTAGGGTTACAAGAGTGAGTGTTTAAGAGAAATAAAAGGCTATGTAGCCTTTTTAATCTATTTTTCTATTCTATCACTTCACTGTCAGGGGAACTATTTGATTTTGTTCTACAGTTCACCTATCAAACACTTTTTGAAGGAATATTCTTTTAAATAGAATAGACTAATAAGTACCAAATAGGTAGTACTGTACATTTCCTTAACGAAATATGCAAGCTATCACTTTTAGATTTGGACATTGTGGGAGGACTTCTTGTTGGTTCTCAGCTGCTTAGACTCAAACTAATCACACAGAAACCATATTATTTAAATCACTGCTTGGCCCATTAGCTCTAACTTCTGATTGGCTAACTCTTACAGGTCAATTTAACCAATTTCTATTAATCTGTGTATCACCATGTGGCTGTGGCTTACCGGCTAAAGTTCCAGTGTTTGTCTCTGGCAGGGCTACATGGCTGCTCCCTGATTCTGCCTCCTTTCTCCCAGCATGCCATTTAGTTTTCCCTGCCTACCTTATTCTGTCCTATCAACAGGCCAAGGCAGTTTCTTTATTCATTAATAGTAATCACAGCGTACAGAGGGAAATCCCGCATCATTTGAGGGCTTTTCTGTGGAGAGCCGAAAATGAGAGCTTATCCCACCTTGTCTTAAGGTCAGAGAGGTTGAGATTAGTTTTCCTCTTTCAGAGTTGTTAAATAGCAGGAGTGGCTACAAAATAGATGTCCTGACCTAGGCTGTCATTACTTGATGTTTTGGATATTAAGATGGTCCATAGAGGTAGATCCACTTCACCCTAACCAAAGGTCAGAGAATTCAAGCATACTTCTGTTCCTTCTTTTGAAAGAGAAATAGAAGACTTGACTTAGGGAGTGAGTGCCTGCAGGATACTTAGTCTAGGGTGTTTTCACTGCCCCAAGCACCAAATACTTTTCCCAGGAATTAATGACTTGATGTCTCAAGTATTGGAGCAAGTAACTGTTCTGGTTGTTCTTGTATCATGTTAAAGCAGCCTTTTGCTTTCTTCTTTTTTTTGTATTGGGGTGTAAAAATGTGTAAAAAATTAAACTCGGGTGAAGTCAGAACTCATTGTGCTGGAGACAGTGAGTTGTCTCCCAATACTGTCCTATGTCTCTGTGTTTCTTTCTTATCTCTGTTCCTCCTACCTATCATTTCTAATCCTCACGTCCCTACCCTGGAACTTTGGAACCTGCCATGGCTGTGATCACAGCAGAAGTCACCCCAAAAACGTGGCTCATAAAACTTTTCTCCATATATTCAATGATCCTTTGCTCTTTTGTGTATAAAACTAAGTTTCCTATCATGGAGGGTTTATGGCAAGATTATGAAATTACTTCTATAAAAACTGTGGTATTTCGAGCTACTAAATATATATATATATATATATTCATAGTCTTATTCTTCTTTCATTAAATAACTAAAATTGGGATTTTTCTTTCAATATTTGAAATTTCTTCATTTGTTCAATATGAAAGATATATTTTATAGTAAAGCCTAAGACTAGTTACAGTGCTAAGTATGTAAGGTCTACAAGTTAAATCATGTATCTAACCATGCTTCAGTTGCTACAAAGGACTCATTTCAGAATATCCAAAAATCAAAATCTGGAAATGCTCAAGTCCCTTAAAAATTGCATTTGTGCCAGGCAGTGGTGGTGTGGGCCTTTAATCCCAGCACTCGGGAGTCAGTTGCAGGCGGATCTCGGATCTCTGTGAGTTCAAGGTTAACCTTGTTTACAGGAGCTAGTTCCAGGACAGGCTCCAAAGCTATGGAGAAAACCCTGTCTCAAGAAACTCTTGAATATAATATACATAAGAATCTTCTGGTATATATTAAATCATATCTGGGTAACTTAAAATACATAATATAAAAATGCCACCTAAAGAGATGCTGTGCTATTTTATTTAAGAAACAATAATGGAAAAGTTGTACACCATTAATATGAACATACAAGTTTTCAAAAATATTTTAAACCACTGTTAATTGAATCAATACATATAGAACTCACAAGTGCAAATGGTCCTTTATTATTATTTTTATCATTCTAAATATTTGATTTATATAATCTGAATTATGACTTACAAAATATTACTTTTAACTATAAATAAAACTTAGTTTCTATGCTTCTGAATTTGTTCCCTTTTATTTTTAAGCAGGATTATGCTATGCAGCATAACTTTTGATCTCTATGAAAGATCAAGTGCTATAAAAATACACATGTGTCTTCATGCTTCACATTAATTTACCCCTATTGTGTGTGATATCAAATAATTCATTGCAGATTCCTTTTTTATCATTAACATTTTCCCTTTATTTTACATGCTGCCCACAGTTTCCTCTTCCTCCTTTAATCCCATTCTCTCCCCCAACTCACATCTACCCCTCTACCCATCCACCCATTCTTCCTCTATCTTCATTCAGAAAGGGACATGCCTTCCATGGGCTTGAACATAGATAGCATGGCACATCAAGTTGAGGTAAAACCGAACAGGTCCCCTTGAATAAAGTCTGGGCAAAATAATCCATCATGGATACAGTTGCTGCTCTCAGTTTAAGAAGCCATACAAAGAGAACAAGCTACACAACTGCTACACACCTGCAGAGGGACTAACTAGGTCAGTTCCATGCAAGCTGACTAACTCTTGGTCCAGAGTCCATGTGCTTGCATGAGTTCAGGCCAGCTGTCTCTGTGGGTTCCTCCATCATAACCTTGACACACATACACACATCCACCCCCCCCCAAACACACAGCACATACATCCCTCCTTCTGTTCTTCAGGAGTACTCCTGGAGCCTGGCATAGTGCTTGCCTATGAGTCTCTGCATCTGCTTGCACTAGTTACTGGAGAAAGGATCTGTAATGGCAATTAGGGTAGTCACCAATAGGATTAGAGTAGATGGCTAGTTCAATTGTTCACAGACCTTGAAAAAACAATACTCAACTTCATACGGGGCGGGGGGGGGAGGGAAACAGGATAACTGAAACAAGCAAGTACAATAAAGGAACTTCAAGAACTTCTGGAGACATCACCATCCCTGACTTCAAGTTCTGTTGTAGAGCTACAGTAATGAAAACAACTTGGTAATG